ATTACAATGTAAAATTTATTCTTATTTATAACTGGTCCAAATTGGGACTAAAATTTTTTATAACTACATGGAAGTTATTCTTATATAAAGTATCACTATAGAGAAGTTCTACTATACATAAATGGTAGCGTAAAAAGATTAAGTCCAGAATTTATGTCATATATATATAAAATTACCCACTTTTGTTTTATATATTGTCATCTTTTTTCTCTTTATCTATATAATAAAGAATTAAAAATAATAATAAAAAAATATTTCTGTCTTTATTTCCCAAATAAAATGTAACCAGCTATAGATATATACTTGAGAATGAGAGAGTGGGGTCTAGTTTATTCTTTAAAAATAATTAAATATTATTGTTAAAAGAGATATTTTTACTATTTCTCACAAACTGTTTCAACTAGCAGATCTTGTTTGTTAGGTTTCACTTTCACATGTTGAAAGCCAGTTGAAACCAAACTAATCAAACTAGAGCACATTCCCAACATCTTTATTAAATTAGATTAACATCATTTTCAGTTAGTTGATAGCATTTTTCTTTTTTCTTTTTTTTTTTAAAAAAAATCTATCTCATAGTCTAACCTGGATTAAATAAAAATAAATTTAAAGAATTTTAAAGATCCTCTTCAAATCTAATGTGTAAGAAAAAGACACTCTTAGGGTAAAAAAATATTATCATAAATCATTGTAAAACACAACATGAAGCATGATATTTAAGTTTAATAAATTTTATTTTTTTGAAATAGGGTGTTCATACTAGTTTAGATGTTAATCTCTGTAGGTGATTAACACAACATTCTAATACTATGATCACCTGCTTAAATCTTAGAAGTAAAAGGGATTGGAACCTGAGATCGATAGACTCTCTTATATGAGAATTGAATTTGATTTTAAAGTTATAATAAATCTTATATAAATACCATATTAAAATATAAATTTAAAAACATAATGTTGTTTTGAGTCTAATAAATATATACACAAATGGTAACGTAAAAAGTTTAAGTCAAGAATTTAAGTTATATATATATAGCTTTAGTTAGTCAAACCATGCAAAACAAATTCCAAAAATCTTGGAGGGAAGAAAAATAACGACTGGTAGAGGTAGTTATTATCCATTAAATTTTCCGAGGAAACGCCATTCATTAATTCTTGGTTAGATGCCATTCAAACCCAACACAACATACGATTACGAGGAGGAGTACTACGTAGGAAAAAACATTTTGGTTTTGTTTTGTTAGATTTTTTGTTTTTGACTTTGTGTTGGCATGGTAGAGCTTTGTGTCGACGTCTATTCTTCCAAGGAACCTCACCACGTTGCCTGTTCTTCTTCGTCTTTCCTTTTGGTATTGTTCTAACCATGGGTATGTGTGATTTTGTTTTTGTGTTTCTGGGTTGTTTTCGATTCATTTCATCGTTGCTTTTACTTGCCTTTTCATTCACGATGTTATTAAACCTGAGCAAGACAAGGAGGCATGATATAATAAGCTTTATCTTTCAGGACGAGAGAAGGAGTTAGGGATACGATGTTATCTTTCATTTTTTTAACGTTTTTGGGTTGTTTTTGATTCATTTCATCGCTGTTTTTCTTGCCTTTTTAATTCACAATATTTATTAGACTTGAAAGGAGTAACAATGGACGAATATATTTATTAAGGTTAAACCTGAATGATATGAGGAATCATGATATAATAAGCTGTGTTTTCAGAACGGAACAAGGGGATAAGGATATAATGGATCTTATTTTTCAAGATCAATATCATAGAACAAGGACAATATATGCTACAAGTACAAGACAAACTATGAAATCTCTAATTTTGACAATCCATACTTAAAGAAATGACTTTGATTGGATTTATAATATTTTTGAGTTTTTGTGGTTTGGATTTGTGAATATTTTTGAACCTGCAACTTATACATACATATGTTTAATCTATGCACAGCAACTTAGATTTTGTTGGAATTGGAAGCAATAAACTTTAACACTTTTACTGAAGGAAACATTTAACACTTTTACTAAAGGAAACAATAAACTCTCATAATTTTTCATTAATGTTTAACTAGTTTTATACAACAAAGGAAACACTACTTCTACATCAAAACAAATTCTACTTTCCTAGTTAGATACAAGCAAAACTCTTATGAACTAATATTCCTAATCAAGTTCTACTTCCCTAATTTGACTCAACCAAATCTCTTATGAATAAGAGTTATTCTAAAACTAAAATACTAGAAAACAGGAAAACGAATACAGCTGAAACTTTTTGTGGTCCAGGACACTCGCCACGGCCACCATCTCCATTGCCGCGGCTGTCGTTCTTCTTCACATTCAGCGCTACTTTTCAGTGCTCGCTGCAGCGACCAGTTCTATCGCTGCAGCGATTGGTCATCTCTTTTTCCTCCGTCACTTTGCTGCAGCTTCCCACTTCTGCCAATGACAACTTCAAGCTCTCCAAAATAGGTTCACACTTTAACACTCCTCCTTGAACCTTTTTTGTGCCCATCCCAAGCAAGTTCTTCAACATTTCAAATCTTGATTTTGACAAAATCTTAGTGAAGATATCAGCTGCTTGAACTTCAAAGCAACAATACTCCAACTTGATTTCCTTTGATTTTTCAGCTTCACGAACAGCATGGTACTTTATGTTGATGTGCTTGGTTCTTCCATGTTGGACAGGATTTTCCGCAATAGAGATAACGGATTTATTGTCACATGTAATCACCGTTGCATCCATTTGCTCCTCTTCCAAGTCTTTCATTAACTTCCGGATCCAAATTGCTTGATTAGTGGCAGTTGTTGCGGTGACATATTCAACTTCTGCCATGCTTTGCGCCACAATCTCTTGTTTCTTTGAGCTCCAACAGAATACTCTAGAACCAAGTGTAAAGCAGTATCCAGTAGTGCTTTTCATATCGTCAACACTTCCAGCCCAGTCGCTGTCAACAAATCCTTTTAGCCTCTCCTCCTCAATTCTTTTGAACATACTCCATGGTCCTTGGTTCCCATTAGGTACCTTAGAACTCTCTTCCCAGCAGTGAGGTGTTCTTCGCTTGGTTCCTGCATAAATCTGGATAAAAGATTAGTTGCAAATACTATATCCAGTCTTGTTGCCATCAAGTACATTAAGCTCCCAACCAAGCTTCTATAGCTTCTACCATCAGCCTTTTTCTTCCCATCAACTTTCATGAGTTTTAAGTTCAGTACCAGAGGAGTTGTTGTAGGTTTGCTATACTCCTTTAAATTTCTCAAGAATTCCTTGAGCATACTTCTTTTGACATATGAAAAAACCATCTTCCACTTAGTTCACCTCTAGACCTAAGAAGTAGTTCATTCTTCCCAAGTCACTAATCTCAAATTCCTTCATCAAGCTTCATTTGAAGTCTTGAATTTCCTTCTTTTCATTGCCCGTTGTTAACAAGTCATCCACATAAAGAGAGACAATTAAGGTTCCTCCACATTTGCCTTTCACGTACAACGTTGCATCATTCATACTCCTCCTAAATCCTTGACCCTCAAACCAAGAATCAATTCGGCTATACCACGCTCTTGGCGCTTGTTTCAACCCATATAGAGCCTTTCGCAACTTGTACACTTTTTCTTCTTTTCCATGGATGACAAACCGCTCAGGTTGTTGTACATAAATCTCCTCCTCAAGCCAACCACTAAGAAAGGCTGACTTGACATCTAGATGAAGTACCTCCCACTTCCTTTGGACAACTAAAGCAATCAAAAGCCTTACGGTGTCTAGTCTAGCAACCGATGCAAACGTAACAAAATAATCCACTCCAGCCATTTGCTAATAACCCTTCACAACTAATCTAGCTTTCAACTTTTGTATTATCCCATCCGGATTCAGCTTAGTTATATACACCCATTTCACACCAATCACTTTTTTTCCTTTTGGTGCATTAAGAAGCTCCCACGTCTTGTTTTTTTTCAATCATAGCAATCTCTACTTCCATTGCATTTACCCATCCTTTGCTCAGGCATGCTTCATCAAACGATGTTGGTTCTAACATGGCACTATTACATCTTTGATAGATACCATCAAGTGATTTAGTACCTCTCACTCCCACATCATCCACCTCTTCATTTTCTTCAATGTTTTCCTTTAAGGACTCTTCAACTTGCTCCTCCTTTTGTTGCTTCCAACTCCATGATGCTTCTTCGTCAAACACCATATCTCTACTCACTGAGATCTTCTTCGAATTTGGGTTATACACCCTGTATCCTTTTGCTTGGCTGCTATATCCCATGAACAGTACCTTTTCTGCTTTCTCATCAAGCTTGCTTCTCTTCACTTCAGGAATCCCTATGTAGGAAACACAACCAAACACTCTAATGTGCTTGAGTGATGGTTTTACTCCACTCTAAGCTTCACAAGGTGTTTTGTTCTCTACAACTTTAGTAAATAAATTGCGGTATTCGCAGCTTAAGCCCAAAACTCCTTAGACAATTTTTTTTCAGTCAACAAGCAACGAGCCATCTCCATGACAGTCATATTTTTCCTTTCAGCTACTCCATTTTGCTGTGGGGAATCTCTCACGGTGTATTGACGTTGAACTCCATTATCTGCACAAAAAGAGTCAAATTCGACAGAAGAAAATTCTTTGCCATTATCAGTCCTCAAACATTTTAAAGAGGTTCCATTTTGGGTTTCCACCATTGCTTTGAAACTCCTAAACACACCAAACACATCAGATTTTAACTTCAAAAAGTACATCTATGTCATCCTTGTTGCATCATCAATGAACAAAAGAAAATATCTACCTCTATTTAGGGACAGCGTCTTCATTGGTCCACATAAATCTGAGTGAACCAATTCTAACCTCTCTTTGGCTCTCCAAGTTGCTGAACTTGGAAAAGGTACTCTATGTTGCTTCCCTAGTTGACAACTTTCACACACCTCATTACAAACCCCGATAGTAGGAACATCTTTCACCATATTTTTATCTACAGCAATTTTGATTGAATTGAGGTTGAAGTGCTCCAATCGTTTATGTCATAACAATGACTCATTCTCCTCCTTACTACTAAAGGCTTTGACATCCATAAAGCTCCAATTCACTGCAAAACTCATGTTTTTCATAGGCACACACATAAACTCTACCCCACTAGGATCTTTTATCTCACATTTATTATCAGCAAATTCAAGCCTAAAACCCTTTTGCATTAATTGACCCACACTCAATAAATTTTGATCTAAGTCAGGTACTAAAAGAACATCAATGATAGATTTAATACCTTTTGTTGTTGGTACAGCTATGATGCCCTTTCCTTTTATTGAAACTTTATCTCTATTGCCAAGTTTGACCATCCCTTTCATGTCTTCCAAATGCATGAATATTTCTCCCTTGTCATTCATATGCTGAGTGCATCCACTATCGATAAACCAAGAGCTTTCTTGTTGTTGAACATCTGCCATCAAAGCGGTAAACAACAACTCTTCTTCATTTTCATCTTCTGCATGATTTACTTGCTGTTGTTGTGATTGACTGGATTGTGCTTGATGTTGGTTCTTCTTTTGGTCACAATCTTTCTCCAAGTGACCAGGTTTACTGTAGGACTAGCATGTCTTTGAGGAATCTCTCTTCTTTTTATAACAATCAGCTTCCGCATGACCATTCCACTTGCAATAATTACAAAAGATTTGACCTTTCTTCTTACCATCTCCCTTTCCCTTACTAGAGTTTTTCCCGTTTCTCTGAAATTTGGTTTTGATCATAGCCTTTGTTTGGAAAGCAACTTCTAACCCGCTCTCATTCCTCATCTTCCTCCTTTGTTTTTGCGCTTCAAGAGCACTTATCAAGTCAACCATTGACATTGATTTAATATCCCTAGAATCTTCAAGAGACGAAATCTTAGACTCGAACTTTTCTAGCACACTCACCAGAACTTTTTCGACTAACCTCTCCTCTGGAACAATTTTGCCCAAGATTTTGATTTCATTCACAATCTTCATTAGCCTATCAGAATATTGTGATACACTCTCCGTCTCTGACATCCTCATACTGTCAAGTTGTCGCTTCAACGTGACTATCTTCATGTTCCTTGTCTTCTCATAACCTTAATACTTTGTCTACAACTTATCCCAAATCTCCTTTGCGGTAGTGCAAACTATGATCTTCATAAAGATGTCTTCACTCACAGCCGATTGCAGGTATGATAGAGCCCTTGCTCTCTTCCTATCTGCTGCTTTTTGTAACTCCATTTGAGCGATCGTTGGATCCTCTGGCAGTTCTTGAAAGTCTCCTCCTGTCTTGGTGACTTCCCACAAATCAGTAGCCTGTAGAAACCCCTGCATCTTCACCTTCCAAATATGGTAGAGATTACCTGTGAATATAGGAATTGGTGGCATTGAGTATGATGGAGCCATCTTCTTTTCAGATTCTCTTCTCTCTCAAGTGTATTTGCTCTCCCTCTTAAGAACCCTTCCACAGATGCCTTAAGAAAATTCCGCTCTGATACCAATTTTTGGAATTGGAAGCAATAAACGTTAACACTTTTACTGAAGGAAACAATGAACTCTCATAATTTTTCATTAATGTTTAACTACTTTTATACTCCTAGTTAGATACAAGCAAAATTCTTATGAACTAATATTCCTAATCAAGTTCTACTTCCCTAATTTGACTCAACCAAATCTCTTATGAATAAGAGTTATTCTAAAACTAGAATACTAGAAAATAGGAAAAAGAATAAAGCTGGAACTTTTTGCGGTCCAAGACGCTCGCCGCGGCTGTCGTTCTTCTTCACATTCAGCGTTCGCTGCAGCGACCGGTTCGATCGCTGCAGCGATCGGTCATCTCTTTTTCCTCCGTCACTTTGCTACAGCTTCCCACTTCTGCCAATGACAACTTCAAGCTCTCCAAAATAGGTTCACACTTTAACAAATTTTATTGGTACAATCTGAATCTGAATCAAAAGAAGCACCTGCATTACTCAACATCTTTCTTAAAAATTTTAGAATAATCAACATTCGTGTTATATTAGTTGAGAGATTCTCTGGAGCTCAAATTGGGATATGAATAATTTTGAAAAGCTGACATTTAAGTTTCCGTAACTGTTTCTATGATTTTCAATAAGTTAAAAATTTTCATGTATTGAAAGGTTTGGAATTGCACTTGATGAGGAATTGTTTGCGAGGATGTGGATTCTGATAGATAGAGAAAGTTAAGATGAAAGTGACAGACTGAGGGAAGAAGATAAATTGGAGAAAGGAATTGGTGGAATCCTTTGAGCCAAGTTAATACGAATGGCTTAAAAAATGAGTGATGGTCAAGAAATTGGTAATCAGCCAGTGGATGAAAAGGCTGACATGAGAACAAGTACACACCAGAAAAAGGTTAGATTGAAAATTTATAATACTGTCTACTTTGAGATTAATCTGTTAGGTTTTCGCTTTCCGAATCATCGAAAACTTGTTACATGAATAAAAACCATGATCTAAAAAACTGCTTATTCAGTGTCTATTTTTTGGCCTCAGAATATATCAGCTTTATTGCTTATGCCGCTTGCATTCCAGAGCCTTGGAGTGGTTTATGGAGATTTGGGCACATCTCCCTTGTATGTTTTCTACAATACATTTCCAGATGGAATTGAAGATACAGAAGATGTTGTGGATGATTTGTCATTGATTATATACTCCCTCACTCTCATCCCTCTTATCAAATATGTTTTCATAGTTTGTCAAGCAAATGACAATGGCCAAGGTAAATTCAGATCTCATTCTTTTCTGCAGTTTCATTATTCCATGCATCCACATGTTTGGAAAGCAACCAAATTCTATGAATAGTTATATAGAACAAGTAGGAAATGTAATGGCAAACTTATGGTTGCTGTGGTGCAGGTGGGACATTTGCTCTTTATTCTTTAATCTGTCGACATGCGAAATTAAGAACCCTTCCTAACCAAGACCGGTCTGATGAAGAGCTAACGACTTACAGTCATTCCATACACCAAGAACAATCATTTGCTGTGAGCTGCAAGAGATGGTTGGAGAATCATGGTAGCAGCAAGAAAGGACTTCTAACTCTTGTGCTTATTGGCTCTTCTATGGTAATTGGAGATGGGATTCTGACTCTAGCTATATCAGGTACATTTTTCACTCACGGAAATATAATGAGTTAATCATGCCATATATCAGTGAAATGAGTAAATTGATGCATTTTACTTCGTTCTCAACTTCATCGAAAAATGCTTAATCCTACTGTTTTTGGCAGTTCTATCAGCCACTGGTGGGATCAGATTATACTAACCCAAGATGACGCCGAACTCCTTGAATGAAAGTATTTCCCTATTCTGAAACTACAGATGTTCTTCTTTTTTCTTCCCTGTGTCTGCTTCTCTTTTAAGTCTGCCACTGAAGCCCTTCAACTTCTTGTGTTTTTGTGGTACAGAGCTAGTTGTGCTTGTTGCAGTTGCAATATTGGTTGTTTTGTTCAGCGTGCAACATCATGGTATAGATAGGTTTGGCTGGCTCTTTGCCCCAATCGTCTTCCTTTGGTTTCTGATAATTGGAGGTATTGGCATATTCAACATTTGGAAATATGACAGCAGTGTTCTGAAAGCTTTCTCACCTCTGTATGTATGTCAGTTTTTCAGAAAGGGAAATGGTTGGACATCCCTTGGAGGTATAATGCTTTGTATAACAGGTAAACTTCATATTGTTCACATTTTGAATAATGCTACACATCACAAGTCTTAATGATCGGGAGTTCTATTGATTAGATGCTATACTGTTGTAGGAACTGAGGCCCTTTTCGCTCATTTATCCCAATTTTCAGTTCTAGCCATATAGATTGCTTTCACATCAATTGTGTTTCCATGCCTTCTTTTAGCCTACACTGGACAAGCCGCCTATCTGATGAAAAACAAAGATCATGTCTTAGATGTGTTCTATCATTCTATTCCAGGTTTGATTCTGATCTACATTCTGAATCTTCCTTCCAGTTAATCTTATTAATAGTGGCTCCTTCGGAAAGCAAAAACAAAAATGAAAAAGGGAAGAAAACAATGACTCTAGAAGAACATGGAATCATTTTCGCTTTGCAAGTTGTTTCGATCTGGGAAATATGCCTTTCTCTTTTCAGTTTTGACATGAAACCTTAATCTCTTTTGGCAGTAATTAGTACTTGAGGACCTGCTTTGGAGGACATATTGTTGATGTTCTACCAAATTTTGCTTCCAATTTGTACCAAGTAAAGTTGTCTAGGGAACATGTCAGAGGTTACTCAAGACTTTGGTAGCTCTAATGAGGTAACAAATCCCCCCCTCCAAATAACTGTTAAGTGAAAGGAAACAATTAGCTTGGCGGCTGATGAGAGGTGCCAGAGAATTTCAGATGAATCTACTTCGGAGAATGGAAGATTAAGCCCCTTCTCCTTGTAGATAGGTCAAGAAAAAACTTTGGATCTAATAGAACAAAACAATGTGTGCACATCACAAATAAGCATTTTTCTCTTTCTTTTATTGAATCCTAACTACCACCATTACTTGTTTCTCGCCCAAGGGGATTTGTAAATTTCACATCTACTTGAAGTGGGGAAATACGATAATCTTTGTAATAAACTATTATTATTAGAAAAAGAAAACAATTCGTTGGATTTCCATTTTACCTGATCTTCAATTTCTAGTTTAGAAACCCCATACTACAGAAATTTGATGAATTTTCTATTGAATGGTATACAGTTATACATCGACCAGCAAGAAGAAATGAAGAAAACAATTATCTAGCCCCGCATTTCATGCTAATTGAGGTTAAGAATGTGTAGTATGTCACGGCAATTCCATTTGACAAAACCAAAGATCGTTGAAGTTTTATTTCTTTAAGAAAAGTGCTAAATAGATTTGGGCTCAAACCGATTTAAAAGTGTGCAATGGGGTATAGATATATATGATCACAAATAGTAAATCTTCATTATTCTACAAAACATCAGGCTAAATGCCCTGCTGATGCAGCAATATTCAGACAAGGATTCAGTGTCTAGAATAAAAAATCTCCCGTTCTTCGGCTTTGTAATAGTCACAGTGAGAATCGAAAATAAGGTCATAATAGAGGAACACCTGTGGTGTTTAGGTAAATGTTTCATGCTCTAGATTAAGAATGAGAAGCGAGTCAAGCAGTTCGCGAGCTATTTGAGCTTGACTCTTGAAAAGCTTGAACTCGATTAGAAGTCAATCAAGTCGAGCTCGAGCTCGAACTCAAGTGGCTCATTTAAGGGGTCGAGCCGAGTTCGATCCGGGTGAAGCTTGACTCAATAGGCTCGGAGCCTCATCGTGCTCGAAGGGCCAAATTGCAAGTTTTGTAGCTTTTTTTTTTATTTTGAAGTTTTTAAAATGACAAACAGCCCCCTTCTCACAATAAACTCGCTCGAGCTCGAGTATCCACCCATACTCGCAAGCTTAAGCTTGAGCTTGAGCCCAAGTATTCAAGCTCAAATGAGCTTGATACTGTTCATCACGAACCGAGCTCGAGTGTCTAGATACTCGGCTTGTATACACCCTTAGGCCGACTCTAGATGACTAACCGCTTGGTTATTGTCAACTGAGTTTTTACAGAAGGAAACCACTAAAATCAAGTTAATGATATAAGAAGATTCAGAATATATAGAAATTTGATGAACAAGTAGAGAGTTGTACATTTTAACTGTCTAACAAATGCTAATTTTTCATGATTCTGCAGATACCATATATTGGCCAGTGTTTGTTGTTGCGACAGCAGCTGCTATTGTTGCAAGTCAAGCGACGATATCTGCAACGTTTTCATTGATCAAGCAAGCTACTGCACTTGGCTGTTTTCCAGGGGTGAAAGTTATGCATACATTAAAGAGGAACCATAGACACATATATATTCCAGAAATTAATTGGATACTTATGGTTCTCTGTGTTGCTGTCACAAGTGGATTCAAAAATCAACACCATATTGGAAATGCTTGTGGTGAGTTCACCCTTATGTATGAATTTTTTCCAATCTTTATCGTCGAAAGAAACATCAACGCACTACTTATCTACTGTATTTAATGTCACACAGGGCTAGCAGTTGTGATAGTAATGCTGGTAACAACATTGCTAATGATTCTAGTTATGGTGTTAGTATGGCGCTGCCATTGGATTCTCGTCCTGTTCTTCACCGGTTTATCACTACTAGTCGAAGGCACCTACTTTTCATCCGTGATCTTCAAGGTTAATCGAGGTGGATGGGTTCCGCTTGTGATTGCAGCAGGCATTTTTACTGTCATGTCTGCTTGGCATTACGGTACAATAAAATGTTACCAATTCGAGATGCATAACAAGGTCTCGATTCAATGGATCATCGGACTTGGTCCTAGTTTAGGACTCGTTAGAGTCCCTGGTGTCGGATTAGTTTACAGTGAGCTAGCCAGTGGAGTGCCTCACATATTTGGACATTTCATCACCAATCTTCCTGCAATTCATTCTGTTGTGGTTTTTGTTTGTGTCAAGTACCTTCCTGTCTACACAGTCCCCGAAACCGAACGATTCCTTGTAACGCGTGTCGGCCCCAAGAGCTTCCACATGTTCCATTGTGTTGCTAGATATGGTTACAAAGACCTCCATAGGAAAGATGATGAATTCAAGAAAAAACTCTTCGAAAGTCTCTTCAGGTTTATCCGGCTCGAGTCCTTAATGGATGATTTTTCAGATTCAGACGTTTACAGTAGCGTAGGCGACAAGCAATCCCAGATTTCAGGAGACGACAACGCCACCCAAAATAACTCCAAAGCGGGAACGGATGCTGATGTAGATTTTGCTTCACTAAGCTCAGTTATCACCTTTGAGTCCGCAGCTCAAGTAAACAATGCCACCATGGCCGTGAGCAAATTAATGTGCAGGAGCGATGAAATCAACGAGTTAGAGTTCCTGGCGAAGAGCAGAGACACAGGAGTGGTGCACATACTTGGGAAGACAGTGGTGATGGCAAGAAGGAAATCAGAGTTTTTGGAGAAATTAGTGATTGATTACATATATTCTTTTCTCAGGAAAATGTGCAGGGAGCCAAGTGCACTGTTTAATCTTCCGCATGAGTGTTTACTGAATGTTGGACAAGTGATTCTTATATAATATGCACACAATGTTGCAGCATTTTGCTCCTTTTTTTTTTTTTCATTTTGGCAGAGGAGATCATAGAATAAATGTTATACAAGTAAATGTAAAAATTTAAGCATCAGGATGAGAGATTGAGACATTGTATTAGCATCAGTTTTGACTCTTTTGAGAAATTTTCTTAAAGAAATTTTCAGGAACTTTTGGCTTAGAATAAAAGTATATACCATTACGCTTTTTCACTGTTTTAAAACCCGGACCGAACCGGCCGATCAAACCAGTCTGACCAAGAACCGACAGCTTCTCTGATCCGATGCAGGTTTCGAAGGGTTTTGTGATATTTCAAATTTATAAAGACTAATTATAATTTTTTTTGGTGTTTTAGAGATATGTCAAAAGTTCATGGATTAATTGATACTTTTTTAGGGGCATTTTTGAAGTAAATAAAAATTTTAGAGACTAATTTTTATAATATACTAAAATTTAAAGGATTAATTACAATTTTTTAAAAATAAAATTATTGACATCATCAATCCAACCTATTGAACCGATCAACCTGTAACTTAATCACCTTACCAGGTCTCACAACAGGTCAAGTTTCGATTATAATAGACCATTTATCCCCGCTTATTTATTTTAAAAGTACACTTAACATTAGTTTGTACACAAAGTTTAAAACATTCTTTTGCGTTTCATATTATAAGCGTAAGATCCAACATATCATTGGACAAGTCGACATCCTCACATAATTTTGGAGGGACCAAGTAGTCAGATTTGCACCCACACAACCTCTTTTGAGACCTTTAGGATGTAGAATGATAACCATAGAAATGGCAGAAACTAAGGTGAAAAAAGCCAACTTAAAAGGCTTGTCTTCAGAGAGATGGAGAACAATGGACAATTAAAAGGCTTATCTTCAGAGAGATGGAGAACAATGGACAAAAATCCATAAGCACAAAACTCAGATCAAAGTTTATATTCACTATTGACACAAATGATAGATTTACATATAAACAATTCCTTCAGCTTTTGCACAAACCACAATCATATCTTACCCTCTCAATGGTGAGCAACATCTTGCTACTTTGTATAAATAATACACAACCTTTTGTGGAGAACATTATATATATATATATATATAACTGGCATTATTGTATCTCATCATACGGGCTAAAATGGCATAATAAGAGAATCATTCACAGTTACTTGGCTACCTGGTTCTGTAGATGTGATTTAGTCTGGCATGCTGCAGACATCACACGTAAACGTCTGGCAATCTCTGTGAACGATGGGCGCGCCACAGGATCTGGAGCCCAACATTGCTCCATTAGCAATCTCCAATCATAGTCACAGTGGCTTGGAACCGGGGGCCTCAATGTGTTATTGACAATACCTCCTGTAGGGGAAGCAAGAGGTAATCAAACTACTAAGTACTATTCTCAACAAATATACTAATTATCCCCTATCGTGGTGGGACTAGTAGCTCTTTGAAGTTTGTGAACTGTCACACCAGCAGAATAATTAATTAAAACCAACAGCCAAATGCCAATTTCAAACAAACTAAAAGTAATTACAAATAAGACAAATCAAGACGGGGGGCATAGATCGACAGTGAGAGACACAAACCTATGATCGCTCCATAATGCATATTAGCATAAGGCTCCTCACCAGTGAGAATCTCCCAAAGGACAATACCAAAAGAGAATACATCAACCTGCCAATCCATGGGAGGTTTAGTAAAACTTTGCACAATTAACTAGTCCATGATTGGCCAAGAAGATCAGGAAACCCATAATTAAAGAAATCAACAGATACCCTATATATTATTCAAAACCAAATTAAATGTATATGACAAAGCTCCATCCTAAACAAACGAGCAGCATTATATCATCAGTGATATCAGCCTACAATTTGAATCAACCATGTTTAGATTTTCTTTTTTTTATTCTTTTTAATCAAGATTTTAAAAAAGATCTATAACAACGTCAACCAAATCTTTTAACATTTGAGCTCAGGCCCAAGATTGTTCTTTCACCAATACAGGTAAAAACTGAATATTAGGACAATACCTTCTCGGAAACCTTACTACTGCTACCATTCAAGAGCTCTGGAGCCATCCAAGGAAGGGTTCCCCTCACACCACCAGTAACCAAGGTATTCCTTTTAATCTTTGACAAGCCAAAATCACCAACCTGCACAAAAGAATAACATTAATCTTAAAACATTTTTTCAGCTGGAACTAAATATATGCTCTTTGTGAAAGGAAAAAAGACAATGGGCCATTACATAAGCAATACGCATCAAAAGCTGCAAATTATTATGGGATAGCAACAATTACCTGCAAATTATTATGGGATAGCAACAATTACCTTGCAAATGGGCCGTAAAGGATCTTTCAAGTTGACAAGCAAATTGTCACATTTCAAATCAAAATGCACGATATTCTTTGAATGTAAATATTCCATTCCAAATGCTGCGTCCATTGCAATAATGAGCCTCTTACGGCGATCAAGATGCCTGGACATTGACTGAAAAAAATGAGATAAAGAGGAAAGCAACAGAAGTATGGGTGCCAATGAACTAGGCTTTTATTAACTGAGTGAGCTTGACTCAATAACAAAGTTTGGTTTAGCAAAATTCATTTCTTAACTGAAAGAACTTGAGCTCAGTTTGATAATTCATTAATCAAGATTCAACTAAAAATTGTAAGTTCAGCTTGATAGCTCAATATAAATATTAATCTGTTGTACACTTTAATCGATACTTGTATATTATATCTGTTTCATAAAATGAAACATAATTTTGATTTTAGACTTTATTTTGAGCTCAAGTTTGAAACCTCCATTCTGTAATATCAAGGAAAAATTATATATAAAGAAAATACCTGTCCTTGCTAAGTAAAACCTGCCTAAGAGACCCATTCACCATGAATTCTGTTACAGTGGCCAGCGTTCCTCCCGGTCCATCCTGCACCACACCATAGAAGGCCACCACATTTGGATGGTGGAGCTTTGAAAGAATTTCAGCTTCACGCCAGAACTCCACAGTCTGCAAAACATGAACATTAAATAATTTGATAAATGAGAAACATATAGCAAATACCATCTTGCTAATGAGCACAAGCCACTTGAACAGCAGCACTGATCAAACAGAAGCGGTGAAAAATAATCTCCACCATAATCCCATAATGTAACATCTATTTTATTTTATATAAAATTTTAGGCAAAACACAAATGCAACCTCCATGTGCTTTACAGTTGTTAACCAAAATCATTCGGATGGAAAAAAGCTCACCAATCGTTCTTGCTCTGATGAACGACCAGTGAAACAGCTCTTTTTTATTCGCTTAATGGCAACATCTGTTCCCCTCCATTTCCCATGGTAAACAGTCCCAAATGTGCCAGAACCCAGTTCTCTAAGCTCTTCCAGATCTTCATTTTTTATAATCTGCCACAAAATCCAGAAAAGGAATAAAGAAGCTAAATAGAAACTCCAAATGTTTATTGATAGTAGATCAGAAGTCTCCAAACAAAAATAAGGAAAGGAGAGAAGCGTAAAATTATTCCAATGTAAGGCATAGCTTGCACATAATCAGTGGCATGCATCACCAGATGTTCCTCTTATAGCTCAAACATTCGCAATCATAAGTAGAAAACATTTAAACTTGATAGAGAAACGGGTTGGGAAGAAGATAAACTAGAATTTTAGTTCTACACCATCCAATATCCTGGTTGCATGATCGCCAGCCTATTTCAGGTGAGCATCTCTTTCATCGAGTTTGCAAATTATCGAACAGCATGAAAAAAATCATTTCATGTGTCTGAGGTCACTAGATCGGTGGACTACATAATGGGAGGTATCCCTTACATCCATATACCCTCCCCTCCCTCCACCTTGCCCCCTTTCTTGGGGTATCACAGGAATTTGATTCCAAGGACAATTATGCAACAACAAATTATTTTACCTACTAAGCCAGCCTTACACACAAAAATAACACTGAGACAACAAATTCTCTAACCATCTCAAAACATTCAAAAAATAAAAATAAAAATAAAAATAGATTACAAAAGTTGGTTTTTCCATTAAGCTCCTTGCAGGTTTTTTTAATGTTTGAAAGTCAAATATACCCCCCTATTATTTTTAAAAATTTTACTTTATCTTTCTCTAAAATAAGCCCTTTTTAACAATTTACTACTAAAAAGCAATTATAGATTTACATAATCAAACAACCAACTACTTCTTTTCTAAAAGCTCCATCTTCATAAACTCTACTACAAAACAACTTCCATAAGTCCACTTGAAAAGTCATATCAAACAGACCCCAAGTGATTATATGTGTCGCAAGTATGAAAAAAGAAGCAAAGAGAAAGGAGCAGAGTTCAATTTTTTTTTCTTCTATATTGTCAATTTACAGAGAAGCAACATACTATTGGCCACCACCTTACCTGCAACGTACTGATGTCAAAATCTTCCAAACTAAAATCAACAAAAGGTGCACCAGTACTTGGGAGATCCAACCTCCCCTCCTGAAGTAAAAAAGAGAAATTACAAAAGGTAGGCATAGATCAGTAATATGGTCAAGAGCACTAATTATCAAACATAAATGCAACAGAAAATTACCTCATAATCTGATTGTATTCTAGAGTTCATGCCCTGTAAATGCACACTTTGATCGCCCTTGAGATGAGAATGCATGTTATCTTGACGCATATCCATGGTATTGGGTCCAACAGTAACAGATGACTCTCGCTGAATGTCCTCATCAAAATTGATGTGCGAGTCATTTTGAGTCATTGCACCTTCATCAGATTTTAAAGGGGGGTAGCTGTAATCAGCAGGAGTCCCCTCCTCAATATTTGTAAGTGGAGGAGCGAAGCCCAGGTGATCTTGGTCCATAAGGGAAACATCTTTTCTAGAAAACTCATCTTGAGCCAAGTTCCGGAAATACGACCACCGCTTCATATCACGATTCTCCACATTCCAGCTTGCAACTGCTCCATCTCCATGCATTGGACTGA